AAAGAGCCTTTCGGTTTCGAAACGCTGCTCCAATTAAGTTTCGGTTTTCGATAAAATTCGCTGTAAGTGTGCTACACTTACACAATTTTTAATATAGCTTTCAAATAATTAATGGAATGTTACTAGGTCCTTGAAATAATTATTTGGGCTATTATTATGAGTTATAATGAGTGTTATTAACGCTTATATAATAATAATAGTCAGACAATTAATTTGTCGTGGTTATCGTTAGATTAAATCCTAGTGGTATCGATACTAGGTTCTATCGAAGGAAAATCGACTTTTTGAGAGTATCGAAGCGCTATCCAAGTGCTGAGTCACCACCTTTCAGGTGAGTGCATAGTTACTTTCATCTTACACATAGATATGAAGTATTTTATATAAATTACGTGCTATGTGTGCATATTATATGAATACTTGTTGTCTACGTTGGATGAACGATTTTATACATGTTTTAAATAATTTAAACTGTATATGTATTTTATATCTACGATAATGTTGCGGTAAACATGGGTAGATATAATAGATGGAATATGAGTTGAATGATGAATTGAGAGGTGTTATAGACCACGAGGTTAGGGTGTGAGGTGGACGATGTGAGAAGCCTTTTTCCCAAATGATGGCCCCGTCATTCAACAGAGTATGGATGACAACCACGGACTATTCTAGACAGTCCAGTGGAACACTAGCATGCTCGCAACCTATAGGTGTTGTGAACGACGTGTTCACTTGGTGTACTCTAAACCTTGGTGACCATGCAGACTTGGTACCTAAACCTTGGTGACCATGAAGACTTGGTGCCTAAACCTTGGTGATCATGCCGACTTGATGCCTAAACCCTAGAGACTATACAGACTTAGTGCCTATTGTGTAAACCGTGGTAACGATGGATTTCTCGTCGATTACTTAGGATAATCCTTAGGAATGAATGAACGAGGAATAGCTGATTCTTAGGGTAGATCCTTAAGAGTAAAGAAGATAATGGGGATGGGTAATGAGGTTTAATTGCCTGATTGTTTAAACATAATAATTATATTATTGTGGGTTGAAAACCCTATGTACTCACCAGGTTTCCCAACCTGACCCACTCAGTTTATTTATATCACAGGTGTTGATATGAAGTCACATTACACTGAGAGATTTAAAGAGATGTAGATCACTAGTGTAAATAAATGTAAGTTCTGTTTATGCTTATGTTTTTGTATTAACGATGACATCCCAAACGTTTTAAAATGAATAAAATACGTTTCTTCGAAAATGTTTTAATAACGTATTTATCATGTTTTTCTTCGAACAAATTCCGCAACATTTTTATTAAAAGAAGTACTCTGATTTTTATAAAGCATAAACAAAATCGGTCTTTTCTGGCCGTGAAAATGGGGATGTCACAAACTTTATCATATAAGGAAGTTATTATCTAATCAATTGGTAATTATCTTTTGTTTAATCAAGGATATACTCATAAATATGTATAAAATCGGATTTTAATGATCTAAAGCAGATAAGGAAAGTATCCATGAGTAAAACAGCAAGAAATCCCGAAATCCCCTCTTTCTAACGCTCGAACTCGCCGAGTACCCCTATGGACTCGCCGAGTAGGAGCCTACTCGCCGAGTCCACAATGGGACTTGCCGAGTTCATCAGGCAGGTTGGCTAAAATTCGATTTTGCAACTTGAACAAACATACAAGGCATCAATACAATAGAAACCAATCAAGGCTCTGATACCACTGATGGGTTTTAGTCATAAGAACATCATATGTGCTCATACAAACCCTAATGCTTCGATCTAGGTTTCTCTATTGTACATGCAATTCATCCTAGACTATAAACCCTAATTCTAGCATATGATAATCAATATTAACATAATAATGGGTTTAAGATATTACCTTGATTGTTATGTAGTAATAACAATCACAATTCCTTCTTGTAATGACTTTAGAAAGCTTAGAGTCATAATTGTCACTCCTCTAATGGTTCACAAACACCAAGAGCAAGAGGATGAAGAATAAGGAGAGAGGAGGTTGCCCAAAATGTCCAAAACCCTAGAGGATCTCATCATCACGTTTTTGGGGCTTAAGGGTGCTATTTATACATGTAGGCTATTAGGGTTTTAAACTAGGAAACCCTAATCTGATTGCTTAAGCCCTAAGCAGCCCATGGATTCATTTCTTAAAGGCCTTGGACGATTTCTAATGGGTTTCCCCATAGAACACGTCCAACCTTATAATATCACTACTAGAAAAACAGCCTTTTACGACGCTTATTGCGCGTCGTAAAAGGCTCAGACGGCGCGCAAATGCGCGTCAAGGAAGGCCATGTCATAAAGAGAGACGACGCGCATTTACGACGCTCATTTACGATGCGCAATTACGACGCGCGTTCATGACACGCAATGCGTATCAAGGAAGACCCTGTCATAAAGGAATACAACACGCATTCGCATGTCGTAAACTTACGACGCGCATGTTAATGACACACAATGCGTATCAAGAAAGCCCCTGTCAAGAAAGGCCATGTCATAAATGAAGATGACACACATTTTTGCGTATCATAATTTTAAATATTTAAAAAAAATATATTACTTATAGATTTACTTATTTTCAAATTAAATTTGTACATAATGTTTTATAATAGAAAATAAAATATCATATACAAAAAATAGAATCCATTGTATCATGTCAAAAAATTGTAATACATTGGTATTAAGGGGATCCGATTGTACATTGTTATTAAGAGGTTTTCCATAACTATATAACCTAATACTACATTGTTGTTAAGGAACACCTTCTTGTTTCTACTTATTGTTATGCTTTTTTGTCCACATGATAGATGTTTTCATCATAACACATTAGTATTCAGAATTCCTTCAAGCATCATCAATCTATGTTATAAAATATTAATATTTAATACAAATATAGTAAAATACCTTTTTCCAATAATCCAGGGTTGAATACAACCCATACCTGTATAAAATATTAAAATTTAATACACATGTTGATTACAAAAGTTAATATGAAAGAGTGAAATAGTAAAATACCTTTTGCCAATTGTCATTGCAGCAATTCAATACGACCCATACCTATATAAAGAAACATGGTGACATACAAGGAAAAATCAGTGCAAAATTGTATGATGGGTTTTGTTCGTCTTCAATTGGGAATTCCTTGTTTTGGTAGTTTTTATAAAAATTATGCATAAAAATAAAATCTTTTCCATTTCTTGGTGAATGCAAGACTTAAAACTATCCGATTTTTTTTTGATCTAGTTGAGTGGTGAATGTTGCTTATTATCTTTATGATGGCGATAGAGAAATTTTTAAAGTTGTCAACTTTTTCTAGAGCTTTGATTTTGTTGGATTTAATAGATCAGATACCTGGGGCCACCCCCACAATTCCTAGAATGTTCCAAAATATGTTCCCGTTAGCAGCTGGTCAAGTAATAAGTTTAAGATTGTATGTTATTTTATTATTATTTTTTATACACATTGGCCATTTGCAATTTGGAGCTCTTCGTGTTATGCCAGTACAAGCAGGAGAAAAGCTAACCTTATCAGTCAAAGGTTCTCTGCCCCAACGCTGATTCTGTTCTATGTACTCAAATAACAACCTACTCTGAGTGGTGGCAGAATCACTATCATCGCTATACATTATTAAGCTCACATACTCTTCTCATGTTGTCCAAAACCTGAAAATTGATTATTATAAACTTGTAAGAAACAAATTCATATTGATTACAAGTAATGTACATTATACAAGCCTTGTTTATGCCTCTAACTTGTTTGAGTCACCAGTAAGAATGACATGTGCACTTTATTTTGCAGCAATTAAACTAGGTAGTGATATTCTAACTCCAAGCTGCAGATAAACGTTATGTTGAGATTGAATAATTGATAATCAATTAATCATAAACAAAACACATAATGAATCATGATTTATCTAAAACAAACAAGCTAAAATGGTGTAAAATGTTTATTTTTAACTTTGTTGGTTAAACATTAGTGACTTTAACATTTTGTGACCTAACTTCCCTCGTATATAATTATTTTTTGGTTGAAAATGAGTGACTTTAACAGTTGGTGACCAAATTGCCCCATTAATTCATAATTTCAAAATAAATAACCAGTAAACATTGACATCATTTTATTTAGACCAAAACTATTTCATTCTAACATTCTAACATTCTAACATGATTTTCAACTGTATGCATATATGATATACCTTTGAGACTTTGTATGCATATATGATATCTTACTATGTGACTTTCCTTTCCATCTTTTATATATTCCTATTTTAATAGTACAAACATATTTTTAGAATAAAAAATTAATAAAAAATAAAAAATAAAATTATATTTGAAAATACCTTCCCATCAGCTGACACACAGTCACCGTTGTTCAACTTGACATATTTTTTACTCCACTGTCATCATATATATAAATAAATTAAATATAAGTAAAAAAAGTGGAATAATAAATATATATATATATATATATATATATATATATATATATATATATATATATATATATATATATATATATATATATATATATATATAATTTATGAAAAAAAAGTCAAACCTTATCCCAATGAATGAAACGAGGATTTTTGCTTTTGTAATCCACCACTATCATCTACAGCTAAGTCAAGAACAATAGACTCCAACCTATTTCATCAATCAATACAAATTTTTAACTTTATATCATCATAATACCAACTTTTTTATAAAAATGATCATAAGTTCAAGTCTCCTGAGATTTAGTTATTTACAACCAATCCTACGGCTCAATGTATGAAAAATAACAGGTATAACAAACTCTTATTAGTATTAAAAATTTATATAAAAAGGAATAAATCTGTTTTCTTTTTGCCGTTTAAAAGGATTAAAAAAATGTTGTTGATGCTTATCATACAAAAAGTCCAAAACTTAGTCAATCTACTTTTGTTTTGCGGTTAAATAACTAACTTTCTGCACCAAATCTTATTAAAATGCACTTGCTCAGACCACTAGATAGTCCCTCCTCATCTTGTTTCTTGGAAGCTTTTTTCCAGTCATTGCAAGATAATCTTCTTCAATCTCTTCTCTAGTAAGCCTGATCAATAATTTTGGTTTCTCATTTTCTGGATCCTCACTCATCTTGTCCTTAGAAACCGAGTTTTCACCTTCTGAAGGGACCTTAGAAGAGGAACCCTTGGATCCATGGTTACCAGCCGGATTAGGCTCCTTTATTTTGGTTGGTTTAGACTTAATATCAACCTCAGTGGATGTGGAGTTGTTGTTGTGCTTCATGAACCGAGGTTGCTCGGAGACAGGTGGTGTTCTCATGGGTGCACCCATTGGGAGTCGTTGCTTTCTCTTCGTACTAGGCCACTTCAATTCATCTGGCATGTTAAATTAATGTAACTTCTTGTTAAAGCTTCAGGTAGGCATTTTGTTCTAAAAACATGAAAAGTAGAATCAAGATACAAACACTACAATGGAAAATGTTACAAAATAAAGCTACTATTTCTGTAATTACAGTGCTATCTACAAAACCAATATATATAGTTTTCACTTTTCAGTTAAAAAAATCAAAAATTATTGAAATTAAACACTAGTTTAAAGATATCAATCATATTATTATACCGATTGATAGTTAAGTGACTCCATGTTGAACTTCAATGGAAGATCGCCCAACCCATACAACAGAACCACCCATTTTTAGATCACTATCAACACTAATTGTTTTCTTGAGAACCATTTTGTCAACAGATGCAGTAACCAGTAATAAGGGCCTTGTCATGCTATACAAAAAGAAAGAAACTTAATTATATTGTTGTTAAAACTGTGTGATGGCATGTAAGGATAAAATAGTCATTTATTTTCATTCAAGCGGTTTATTCGGTCCAGAAAAGTGAAAAGAAACAGACCTTACGAGTTATGAGTTATGTAAGAAGCACTTTATCAGATTTTGAGGGTGGACCCCATCTTCAATGAATGGTTTTGCCTCCTTCAAGAACTCACCAGCAAGAAGAACTACTGTTGTGGTTCCATCACCAGCAAGAAGAAGAAAGGTTAAGTTCATGTAGGATGTTTCTAGTGAGATGTGAAATTAAAGACTTGATCATAGAAACTTGTTTTAGGTTCTACAGTTTTCTTGATTGGATGGGGGGTCTGAGTTCACTTGTATTTTAAGTTAGAGCCAACCACACTGCATGTTTTAAAGAGAGGGGAGATAGAGACACACACTCTTGTACCGTTTTAATAAGTTATGCAAGCAAAACCTAAAGCAGTTGAAAAAAGGGCAATGAAGCAGTTGAAAAAAGGGCAACGCTGAGAAGGAAAAAGAAGTGAGGGCAAATTTGTAAAATGTTAAGTTCTTTCTTCATTAACTCTATATATGTATGTATATATATATATATATATATATATATATATATATATATATATATATATATATATATATATATATAAAACCATCAGAATACCAGATCAGATTCAACGCAACCAAAGTGTCATAAATTCAAAAATAAATAGTAAGAGAAAATAATTAACATAAACTTACATTGCATTGTCATCTTCTTCAAAGTTGAAATGGATGGTGATGGTCTACCAGATTGTAGCTTTTCTGGGGAGACGTTGGCAGCTGCAAATTAACATCATGTGAAAAACCCCCCCACCTAGTTTTGGTAAAATTCCGAAAATGCCCTTATTCCCCTTGACTTAGGGTAATTTTCCCAGCAAAGTTAATGACTTTTCTCTACCATTTTCCCTTTTATCTTATTAATTTAATTATATAGTCTTAAATTTACGATGTTATAGTATTGTTGCATTCAGAAAGAGATACTCTCTTCTCAATAATAGCATCTAAAAAAGGTTATGATATTTTCAGAACAATTCCAGTATAAGAAGTCATCATGACAGAATCTTTGATGCCAAAATCAGATTTATTGCAGGATAAATGGAAAAGTATCATATTACCCCTAAATTTCACAAATTATTATCTGATTATTATTCTTGAAATCAGAATAATTACTTAAGAAAAGAAAATCCAAACACCCCTTTTTATATTTTCTCCAAAAGATATAATGAATACCAACTACTTCCTACTTTGAACTTTGAAGTAGTGTTTGGATGTGCCAATGATATGCAAACCACAGTTGTTGTTGTTGTTGTTGTTGAATGTGACTTGAGCATTGAGTTCTGCAATGTATATTTTCCCATCTCTCCCACCAGCATAAAAAACATGTTCCCCTAGATCTAATGGAACTGCAACAATTATTGAAGGGAACACAATATTTCTCAACAATGTCCCTCTAGTTAGGCTCCATACCTGCAATTTAAACAAATTCATGAGGGCATTCACGTCTTTTCCGAATATTTATGCAATATGTACCTTGCAAGTACGATCTAGAGAAGCGAATAAGATAATTGCATTGAATCCTCCATAGCCTGTGATAATGTCAGTTACAGGTAAAGCATGACTAGTGAAACTGTATTCATACAGATGTCCTGCTCTCTGTTGTCCTTCCTCATCAAATATCCTGATCACAAGATGAAGAAAATGTATTATAGTAATAAATGCTAAAATTGCAACTCATGAATGTAAAAGGGTAAATGAGTAATTATACATACATCAGAAGTGACCAGACTCTAACAGTTCCATCCTCAGATCTAGAAATCAAAAGTGACTGATCATTAGAAAAGACCAAGCAACTAACAGGCCTATAGTGACCATGCCATTTCTTTAATAATCTACCAGTTGCAACCTATAATAAATCAAAAGAAATAAAGAAAAGACTTCTAATAAGATCAGTTTTTATATGATTTTTGCACCGATAGTTAATCCGATTATGAAAAACAGTGAGTTGTTGGAACCAAAGAGCAACAGTAAAACAGAATAACAAAGTTTTCATTATAATTTGAAGAGAAATTAAAAATCGGCAAAAGAACCATGTATTCTTTATGACTAGAAAACTGAAATGAATTTACAACTCACCCCCCACAAGTAAATATGACCTGAAACTCCTCCTACTATGTTAGTACCACCAATATTACAAGCAAGAGGATTGATTGCTTCTGCTGGAAAACTCTTAACTTCTACCTGAGGCTGCAAACAACAAAAACCTGAACATAAGTGTCAAATTTAATATTTTTCAAATGAATAAGTTATGAACTACATAAATAGTTATATAGTTTAATGTAGTGAATGTTGGGTGATTGAACTCCTATCAGAATCTAGGCAACAGGAAATAATTAAGAATTAATCTATAATATTTCCCTTGCAATTCCTCTGTATGTTGAAAACCTAATGGAACTAGTATATTTACATAGTTGCTTCTGTTACATTTGTATTTATAACTTCTAATTTAATTAGTTTATTTATTATTATTATTATTATTATTTACAAAACTAATAAGATGGTCATCAAGTAGATACCTGGAACCATCTGCATCCACCCTTCCATGTGCTCTAGTAATAGACTGCAAGTTTATGACACAATACATCAGTTAAAAATGAAAATATGTTGCCATTTTGTATATTTTGCCTCGAATATTAACATCAAATGATCAAAAGTGAAGAATAGAAAAGATTGTTTGAAGCAAATTGAGAAACTATCAACTGTCAAGTGTATCTTGGATCTTGATAGCCAGTTTATGCACCTCTTCCATAGGTTCCATTTGGATTGAAAGATAAATTCTGATATGAAGTTGGCCTCACAAGGGTAGAAGCAGTGTTCCTCTTCACACCATTTGGGTTTCCTTTAGTTGTGTCCAAAGATAAAGCAGGTTCCTCTTTAGTTGCTGTGATCTCACCCTTTGGAAGCGCAGGAGAGTAAGGGGTTGTAGGGGCCATAGGTGGGAAGTAAGAAGTATGGTCCTGGTAATGTTGGGGCCCATAGAGTTCACCATATTGACCTACTGTTGGCATAGGTGAGCTAGCAGGAGAATAAGGTCCATATGGTGCATAACCATGACCATAAATACCCTGTAATGAAACCAAAAACAATATACAATGATAAACATGTTTTCAAGTCAAAAAATAGACAAAACTCACAGAAGGAAACAGGTTCTTACATGAGATAAATCAACTCCATCAGGATTCACATATCTTGAGTAGTCATCCTAATCATTGGTAGTTTTATCATAGCCTATACAACAGAAAAGGGAGATTGAGCAATTGCAGAAAAGGGAGAAAAGGGGTAACAAGACTGTACGCCATTGTTAATGTTTTATGATAAGAGATAAGCGAAAGAGAACTTACTATGCCTAGATTAATGGAGTATACACCGTGGTTGGCTCGATTATCTGACCTAGAACCAAAATCCCACCACCACCACCGTTTTCGACGAGACAATGAGAGAAAGCATCTGGAGCGATCCCTTGTGAAGAAAGTTGCGCGATTACAGAGAGTCCTTGTTAACCGAATCCAAAGATTCCTTCAATGGCTCTATCGGGTTTGGTTAAAACCCCAGTTTGGGATGTGCTACATCTGGTTCATGAACTTGCCAAATCAATAGGGTTTTTTTAATGAAAAATGAAAGGGGTTAATGGATTGGGATGAATTACCCGAAAACGATAGATGTTGAAGCGTTTGATGGTTTTGAATCATCGATGATTGTATCAAGTAGAAAATTATCAAAATGGGATGCACAAGTAGAAAGTAGGGGAGAATGATGTCGTACCTGAGAAAACAAAGAAAAAGAAGGAGAAAAGGGGAGAAAGAACGGATCCTATTTGTTATGTGTAGATAGTAGAAGTGGGGATCGAGTATGGAGGAGGAAATCACAATTGAAACCCGTATAATTTTTACGGTTAGGGTTTTATAGAGGAGAAGATGAGAAGTTTCAAAATCAAAATTAGAGGTAAGAATAGAGGAGAAAGAGGAACCTGTATCATGTATTTGACATTCTTGATGGAATCGTTGCTCTGGACCTAGAGAATGATGGTTTTTATAGTTAGGGTTTTATCATACGAACGTGAAGCATGAGCACCTATGAGATGAATGATTTGATCTCAATTGACATAAATACAAACATTAGCATATCATGATGGGGGGGTTTTGTTATCGGTGTAGTGCGACAGGAAAGAATGGTTGGAGAAGATGGTCGAAGACACTTGGCGGTGTGAGATCGGAGGTTGGGTGGTGGTGTGATGCTGCTATGAAGACGAAGGCCCTAGGGCTTTTTCTTAATAATCGAAAGAGACAAGGGGGTTTGATTTTTGGGATCCAACAGGCGGGGTGAAATCCCGCCTTAAAAAACGTGTGTTTCATTAAAAAATTATAAAGCTACACACTTGGAAGACACACATTTTATCAAAGGCGCCCTCCGCGTTTCCTTTTTTTTCTTTTTCTGACACTAATTTTAGGGTACGCACAAATGCGTGTCCACTATCCTTCAAATTTTGCAAAACTGACATTATTTTTTAGGGCACGCACAAATGCGCGTCCACTATCAGCGAGTGTCATTGATTGCACGTCATTAAAGGGTTGTTTTCTTGTAGTGTATAATGTAATCCATAGCCCAATTGCAATTATCTTATAATTACAATTCTAGTCCCTTAAGTTTAATTAATCTCTTTTAGCCACAAACTTAATTCTTATTAATTCTTGACGAATATTAATTAAACAATATGATTTCTCCTTGAATATATTCTCATAATACATTAATAAATTATATTTAATCCTTTCTCTCCATAATTCATCCTATCAAGTTGCTTTGGTGAAGGCAACCCAAAAGGACCATGCACCATCGGGTCAAGTACATACCAAAATAGTTATGAAATTAGACACTAATCCAACAACTATCCCCTTGATGTAGAGATTGTGGATGACAGGACCGTTTGGGTCGCGATGGTTCATCGGGGATGTACACTGTAGTTGATCGATGAACAGTATTCCATAAATTTAGTCACTATTCCCCTACGAAGGAATAAGGTCATCATGGGTATGGACTGGTTGAGCGTAAATGGGGTAGTGATTGACTGCGAGCGGCATCTAGTGCAAGCTAGGACCCCAGGTGGGGGAGGGTTGATAATTCAAGGCAAGAGGCAGAAGTGTATACCGACTTTGTGTTCATCTACGAGGGCAAGACGCTTCGTTCAACATCGTTGTTGTAACACCGTAAATTTCAAGACAAAATTTTCATTTAAAATAATCATTTTATTCTTAGAAACGCTTGTTTAAAATCTCATTCATAGTCGAATTACAAAACATAACTCCATTTTTTTTACTTGCATAGAAAACCAGGATCCTCCAAAAATGACTCTTTCTCTGGTGTGTACAATCAAGCCGGTGTCGTCTCGTGATACTGAAAGAAACCTGAAAACATCACACAAAACACTGTAAGCACGAAGCTTAGTGAGTTCCCCAAAATACCACATATAACACATATTAGCCACTCGAGGCTATAACTCTATGGGTCCGTGCACCCAACTCTGTGAACCCTCAGGTTCTAACTCTGTGAACCTTACGGTTCTAACTCTGTAAACATGCACAGCATAAATCACATAGAAATAATGCAGTACAACACATAACATACATAGCATACAAATACTCTGTCACATAACTCTGGTTACCTACTCAAGGTAAAGTATAGTGAGAAGACTCACCTGGCAAGCAGAAAGCAGATATCCCCACACTTAAATCTCGAACTCGCCACCGCCTAACACGTAAGGCAAATACTCTCATGAATATAACTCTCGAGACTAGAATCAATCCTCTCATGAACCCTCTTAAGGGTAAAAGACTATTTTACCCCTCTCTTGGCCCAAAGGCCACATCGCTGACCAAACCCTAAAAGTCAACGGCCAACCCTTGGTCAAAATCAAAGTCCTCAGTCTAAGTCAACCCCTGACTGACCCTACTCGCCGAGTCAACCCTGTGACTCGTCGAGTTCCCATAATCAGAACTTCACTCAATCCGCGACCTAACTCGCCGAGTCACCCCGAGACTCGCCGAGTCCAACAACTCTGAGTCCACTCGCACACAACTCACCGAGTCATCCCTCGACTCACCGATTCTCGACTCAACCAGAGAATATCGGGACCCTTCGACAAGACTCGCCGAGTCCAAGAACAGACTCGCCGAGTCTAAGGCTATCATCAACCTACTCGCCGAGTTGTTCTTCCAACTCGCCGAGTCCCAGCTCATCTTCAAGCAACTCGTCGAGTACACCCATGTGACTCGCCGAGTACCACCGGTCTGAATCCATTCAGAAGCATTCCAGGCCATGCAACTGCTCCAAAACATAGATCTAGTCTCCTACCACTCATCCATCACGTAAAGTGGCAAACTTTACGTGAATCCAAAGAGATCTAAGCCGTTTGCACATTGGGCTAGGGTTTGGGACATGTAAGCTTCACTAAACACTCCAACACAGGGACTTTCATGCTCTCTGATTCTTCTCCCTTCCAGATCTGAGGTAGCAACCTCAGATCTAACCTCTAGACTTCCCATTTCATCCATAGACAAATTCCACAAACCCCAAAATGAAGAAACAACATAACAACAGCTCAATAACGAGATATTACCTCTAAGTGATGCCCCAACTGCAATGTAATTCGAATCCAAGCAAAGCCCCTTGCTCCAAGCCTTCAATCTCCCAAAATTCCTTCAACAATTACTTCTCCAAGCTCCAATCCACTCAACAATGGTGCTTCTCCGTGATTTAGGGTTTTCTGGGGCTCAAGGGGTGATAAAGAGGCTGGGAGGAAAACATAATGATCTTTATATAAGGCTCAACCCCGAGAATTAGGGTTTTCTCCACTCAGCGCCTACTCGCCGAGTCCATCTCACTGACTCGCCGAGTCGGCAACTTAACACGCGACCAAGTCGCGACTCTACTCGCCGAGTCCATCCATGGACTCGCCGAGTCACTCTTTCACAACTTACTCTTTTAGCCCCTTCAACTCTACTCTGATATTTCGGGATGTTACAATTCTCCCCACTTAAATTAGGCTTCGTCCTCGAAGCCTACACAACTCAACTCCAGAAATACTCCCACAACGTGCCACCTGGCCTTAATCGGACCAGGTCTCACAAGGCATACCCATCGAAACTCGAACACACTTTCCCTTTCCTTGGTGTCCTGACCACTGTCTCGAACCGGGCACCGGATGTACCCTCTGATAACCACACTCAACGATCCGAGAATTACCCATGAAGCATCACTGCCCCAAATCTCAACAATCACTCGACCCATAAGGGTTAGAAGCCATGAACCATCGGATCCCCGATCCGAATCCCACTCTATCCAATCCGTGACGACGGAAAGACCCACTCTTCAATCCCAGAGCAACTCCCATGAGTCCTCTTCCTGCAATCACACACCCATGCCGCACCAACCTTCGCACTCTCGGGTTAGGAAAACCTGTCACACTGATGACATCTCTAACATCCATTGGAGAAAACACCACTAAGCACACAACCCTTGATCAGAATCAAGCTGGGAGTCCCAGACTCCATCCCTGCATCCATCCTGAGACTCTTGGCTCTACACCCGCGGAATCCCTTCCGCGTCCTCAGCAGACATCCCATCGTGATGTCATTCCATACCACTGTCACAGACACAATGTTCGACCACCATACTCCAAATCATCCATTCTCACTACAACTTCCACTTCCGCGAATCAACACTTTCCCCAGCAAATGAGGGTCGACACTTCCTCCCATACAACAGCACAAAGGGTGGCATACCAATGCACTAATGATGGCTGTTGAAATAGGATAACTCAACCAAGGATAAATACGTGCCGCAACTCCCTCCGAAATCTAATACACATGCCCGAAGCATGTCTTTGAGCGTCTGAATCGTTGCTCCCTCTGAGGTGTCCTCAGACATCATCATGATAAGCTCTAGCTCATTTCTCATATCCCTCTTCGAGACTGAGCACCAGGTCAGCTTTTGACTCCACAGCTGAGCCTCCAAAGGTCACCCATATCATGATCCAAATATCCCACTAACTTCCTCCCCGTGACCACTATCCCGGCCCCGTGACACGCAAGTCACGAAATTCTCTTTTCCTTATGCGAGAAAATACAATCCAACCGAGGATCGTCTCGACTCTGATCTCTGGTTTCTGCTGCGCATATCCCTTGCGCATCTCACCACATTTCCTGACAGAGACGGGGACCCCAGTCTCGCCCCCGGTCCAACATCCAGGCTCCAAAAACTCAATACTAGGGCTACTCAAGCCCAAAACTCTTCCACATCATACACTGATCGGAGAACATTCCATCATCACACTCTCTTGCCATCTAGTGAGTACTACGGCTCCCGCGGTATCACAACACCCTCTGACTAGTGAGTACTACGGCTCCCCGCAGTATCACAACACCCTCTGACTAGTGAGTACTACGGCTCCCGCAGTATCACAACACCCTCTGACTAGTGAGTACTACGGCTCCCCGCAGTATCACAACACCCTCTGACTAGTGAGTACTACGGCTCCCGCAGTATCACAACACCCTCTGACTAGTGAGTACTACGGCTCCCGCAGTATCACAACACCCTCTGACCCACTAGCTCGTGCTCCGCAGACTATCATAGGCGGCTACCCATACTCGTCTCGAATATTCATCACAGACTCTGGAGGCAATCGTCATAACAG